AATGGCGTGAGCGGCGTCGCCCTGAATAGACGCTGCTCTGGGACGCCGGGACGGCGATGCCACCTGACGCCGACGGGTGATCCACGATCGCTCGTGGCGCGCGGCGCGGCGTGGCGAGCCCCGCCCCTGGGGTTGAGCAGCGTGTGGGTGGGTCGTCACTGCTCCGAGTAGTCAGAGCGGCGTCGCATTTAGTGATACGCCGCTCACGCCATTTAGAGCGGTGTCAGCTTAAAGCAATCGCTGCTCTTACTAGCTAGAGCAGTGTTCACTCAGCAAAGTCCCGCTCTGAAGAGGAGGAGCGAAGGAGAGCGCGACTGAGGGAGGCGAAAGCAGCCTCTCCGCGGAAATTGACCGCTCCCGCTATGTTGAGCGGTGTTGCACTGACTTGACTCCGCTCGAACGTGTTTGGTCGGTGTTTTTCTGAGCAAGAGTCCGCTCTGAAGGTTGCAGAGCGGAGTCTTGTTAGGCAAACGCTGCTCTGTGTTGTGTAGAGTGGGGTTTAAGCTTGAAGAACGCTGCTCTAGCACCATCGAGCGGAGTTACTGAGATAGAACACGGCTCTGAGATGTGAGAGTGGCGTCGCGCGTTTTGCTTTCGGCCCTCAGCCCTGGGCCACAAATTGGGGGGGAGGGGGGGGGGGGGGTTCGGCGGCACCCTCGACCAAACCTTGCTCAAGGTTCTTGGGTGCAAAGAGCGCGGCCACAAGTCACAGGGCCCGCTTGTCCATGCGACCGGCAGAGGCTGGGTCAAAGAGCACAAGGGACAGTACTACGACGCGCTCCATGTCAAGAACGGAATCGTCAAAATTTGTCTCGTCGAAAGGCGGCATCGCGCCGCCAACCAAGAGAACCATCTTCAACCTCGCCAAAGAGGTCGGCAGCCCGAGTGCCGTCGACCGCACCGACTACGGCACAGCCTCCGGCAGCGCCCGGGGCTTCGCCCAGCACCACTCGCAACAGCTCTCGCGCGCCGCCGTCTGTGGCGACGCGCAAAACATCAACAACGCTGCTCGCAACATGCGTGTCGCGCACTCATTCATGACCGGTCTCAATGTCCCACCCCCCTGCGCGCGGGCCTTCTAGGCCCGCGGGTAGTCTCCCCCCATTCCATGCCCCATTCCCAGGGCCTCCAGGGCTCGCACCTCAACCTCTCACAGACCAGCGCACAGCGCCATAGGACGTATTTTCTTCTCATAACAAGGCTGTGAATCAACCTATCTGTGAAAAGGATGAAAAATCTGGACGGGTTCTCTTTTTCGGAGACGGTCTATGGGGCGGCGTCGGCGAGCGCGCGACTAGGTCCAGCCCTGGGTGAGCCGGGTTGTGACATTTGGCGATTCCGCGGCTTACTGGGCCCCTGAGCCGCTCCCCGTGTGCGATTCTTGTGGCCCAGGCATGGTACTGATAGTAATCGGGTCAGAACCGGCCAAACACAGGCTACAGCCCCACACACGCGCCCGCCATAGCTCCTGGAGAGCATGCGCGAGTGACGCGCTACAAGCCGCGAGAGTGGCATCAGAGGCAGGAACGACGTGCTCTTGCTGCACCTCGCAGCTGCACCAAGTGTGCTCGCAGTGTATGCCACGGCCGCCGCCTGCGGCATTGCTCTCGTGCAGCTAGGCGACGCAGGTCCATCAGCAGGGCTCATCCAATGCGAGCGCACATGTGCGTAGCCGCGGGCAGGTGGCAGTGCACAGCCGCACACCGGCTGTGGCGGCTCGAATGCCCCCGGCAGCAATGCTGGTCATTAACTTGCGTATTGGGGCCGCAGCAGACTGCTGCTGTGGCAACAGCAGCAGCCTGCTGCTGCCTGATTCAGTCAAGCCAGCGGTGCAGCGAGGCGTGCAGAATTCGCGCGGTTTGGTACCTCCTGAGGCTGAGCGCGTTCAGACCCGGTGACCGGAGTTGGATGGTTCGATGGAGCTCGGCGAGCTCCGTCGAACCATCCATGGCCGGACGGCGGAGCGTGAGGTGGCGAGCGGAGAGATGTATCGCAAGACGAGAAAACACGGATCTGACGCGATGTCACTCGGGCATCTGCCTCTGCCCCCTCGCCGCATCCGCGAGCGCGCTCGTGTCAGCTCGCCGCTGCTCCACCTGGTGCCGCTGCTTGGCCGCCGCGCTCGCACTCGCTCCGCTCAATGACATCGTGAGGCTGCAACGGTCTGCGAGCTCCTTTCGCCCAGCGGGTCCACCACAGAGTTCTCCCAGTCATGTGCCCAAATGCGCCCGCCGTTTTTCGTCATATCCCCCCCCCTCCGAAACCCGCCGACTTTGATTGGGTCCGGCTCAACCTCACTCCCATCTCTATACTTTCAGCGCCCCAGCTCGGCTACACC